CACAGTGAAATAGCTTCCTGTGCAGGTCATCAAAGGAAGCTTGGAAGGCTCATAGGCCCAGGCTAATATTCAACACAATCACTTTGACGATTGGAAGCCACAATTGCTAGAATGTACTCCATTTAGCCTTTTGGTTTGCTTGTTTTTTATTTACAGAAAGCTTATCTGTAAGGGATGCTTGTTCACTACATTTCTCTCAGAGAAGGTAACTTGAGGTTTCTTTGCTTACATTTGGAACAAATGCCTTGTTTGAGAGCTCTTTCAAATATTGAAGGCTAATTTTAGATAGTCTGGTCTCTTTGGATGAAAGTATCTTGAAAATTTTGGGTTATACAAGAACTTGGAGAGAACGCTGGCTCTTAAAACATACTGCTGACATTAAGAAACAGATACAAACATCACGAGGAAGTGATGAAAGCTGGAGTAGTATCCTTATCAACAGGTGGCCCTAGGCAGGATATGCTTCACTATGTGCCCTATAAATAAGCACTGGATTAGGAAAAAGGCCTGCTCTGGGGAAAGACACAAGGCTAACAAGGCAGTATCTGTCAATCTGTCTTCCATTTAAGTACTCCAACCAAAATAATCAGAACAGTCATTTAGAAACTTTAATGGGACTTGAACGCCAGCCAACTCCCACAGTTTTTCTGATACCACCACCAGATACACACAAGTGGACTGCAGAGAAGAAGGAAAAAAAAAACAAACCACCACCACAGGTAAAATAAAAAATCACAGAATGGTTTGGGTTGGCAGGGACCTTAAAGACCATCTAGTTCCAACCCCCCTGCCATGAGTAGGGACACCTTCCACTAGACCAGGTTGCTCAAAGCCTCATCCAGCCTGGCCTTGAACACTTCCAGGGATGGGGCATCTACAGCTTCTCTGGGCAACCTGTTCCAGTGCCTCACCACCCTCTCCGGGAAGAATTTCTTCCTGATGTCAAACCTGTACCTCCCTGCTTCCAATTTACCTTGTCCTGTTGCTACAGGCCCTTGTAAAAAGTCCCCCCCCAGCTTCCTTGTAGCCCCTTCAGGTACTGGAAGGCTGCAATAATGTTTCCGCGGAGCCTTCTCTTCTCCAGGCTGCACAAACCCAACCTGTCCCCATAGCAGAGGGGCTCCAGCCCTCTGAGCATCTTCGTGGCTTCCTCTAGACTTGCTCCAACTGGTTCATATCCTTCTGATGTTGGGGGTGTTAATTTCTGTGATAAAAATGACTGTGAATTCCTGTGTGTACACCCTCCCACCTCAAACCCAGACATTCTTGAGCATGCACTGGCATGCAATCTTCAGCTGCCTGATCACACCCACAGCTACTTCTCTCCCCTTGGGACTCCTGCTTCATAAGAGCAGTGCAGAGGTAACACAGACAGGAAACCTCATTACTGTTCCTCCTGGTTTTTCAAAATGTCCCCATACTTCCCTCACAGTTCCAAGGAAAGAGCCACCATGTCCCTAACAGGCCACTCATTTCTCTGGAAATCTGCTCAGAAATACAGTACAGTTTAGCTTTCAATATCTTATTGCTGAGTGGCATCCACAGCAATGAGTAAGGCGGCACTGATAATGAAAAGAGAGAGGTTGAAAATTGGCCCAAAAATAAGGTACTCAAGCACTGAGGTGTGAATAGAGTCATGGTCTGCTGAAACACCAGTCTCTGCTTTGGATTCACTACCTTGCTAGGGAACTTTGCATAGCTGATCAGCCCCAAAGTGGTGAGGGTTTGGGTGAGTTATTCGGGTTTTTTTCCCCCCCCTCACAAATCAGCTTGTGAGTTAGGCTCTTCCTCCTACTCTTTAACTCAGTACTTAAGGCATTTACTCAGGATGTTTCTTCCTTGTAATTGTTTCCTTACCTGAATAAACTAAAACTGGTCTTTCCTACCTCGCAGGCAATGGTTTTCCAAGTTCAGGTTCTCATTGTTTCCCATCTAAGCTGTCCTGTTTTGCATGGGCTAGTTTCATATTTACAGAAAAAGGAACCGAGACAGATTCTGTAGCTATAGGGGAGGAACAACCACCTGAAATTAGGGATGTCGTTCCAGTCACCTCCAGGTAATGCTCAAATGTATTAAATATTCACCAGCATCAAGATGTAATCCCAGGTGAATTAATTCTACGCTCATGTACTATTTCTCTCCTGCCATTCTGCCAGCCTGGCCAGTTATGCCAAGAAAATTCCAGTCTTACTGTCTCCTTCCTTCTTCTTCCCCTCACATCCCAGAGACCCCAGTACATAAGTAAAAACCACAGTACAGTAAATACCCTATTAAACATGCTGGCGTTCAACTTTTCAGACCCCACTGCACCCGACTGCAAAACCGCCTGAAATACTGGGTTTTGCAGGCCATCTAGTGGTAAAAGCAGAATGGGACAAAGAGAAAACCTTTTCAAACTTTGCCTTCTGAAAGATGCTTCAGTATCACCTGCAAGACACACAGGGGCCACCTTGCTGACCAACGGATGTTTTTCCCACCCAGCAGCAAGAAAGATGATGAGACTCCTAAACCATACTCTGCATAATCTCAGAGTACGGCCACAGGCTCCTTTTCTTCTCCCTCCAGCATTCATCCTAAAAGCTACGTTAGAGCAATGAAAAAACCACTGTAAGTCACTCAGAGCAAAGAGGACATCTACTGAAACTTCATTAAAACAAACTTGTAAACCCCTATTTGGGTACATGCTAGCCAATTTGGGGCTCCCCTCATATGCTTCTGAGTGGAGGAGAACTTGGTGGAAGATGTCAGGGATTACAAGGAGCAGACAGAAGTTCTCGTTTCACTGAGCGGGGCAGACAGCAGCTGCGCTGCTTACAGGTCTGAAGCTTCAGAGCCCCGAGAGCACCCACCGATTCTGCAACCCCTTCCCACCTTCACAGGGTTTGGCTGCCTGTGCGAAGCAAGCTCTGACAGTGCACCTGGGAGAAGCCTGCTGTGGAAAGGCTGCGTGAGACAATGCTGTGGGCAGCCTTGCCCCTGGGCGCAGCAGCCGCGTTTAAGTGCGGGCCCTGGGCACTGGGTCCCTGCCTGAGCTGTGCTGTGGGCGCGCCTGTGCCAGGCCATGGATCTCGCTTATCCTCCCCGTGACTTGCTGACATGAAGGTACCAAGTGGACACAGGTTACAGCAGCCTCCTGATTTGTGACTGTCACAGAGGGAAACAGAAATACGATGACTGTTAATGCTTTATCCACGGTCTCTAAAAGACAACAAAAATACGCATCTGCTTGAATAAAAGTTTATTTCATGTGTCATAGAAAAATCATTGATACCATCAAAAAAGGCTTTATGAGATAAAGGATATCAAGACACATACAAATTCATAATAAATACTCTGCTTACTCCTGTGTGTAAGGATAATATCCTGCGTGTAAGGATATTACACAAAATATTCCTTATAGTTACACACATAGGAACTAAGTACTACCATTGCAGTCAGCTGACATTTCATTTGCAAGATTGATCCCTGTTTTTAAGGTTAAATCCTGACCTCCTTATTTAGGCAAATTCTTAAGAGTTACTCCAAAGAACTCAGCCTGAGTAAGAAGAGTGGACTTGGTTTGTAAGTATCTTAGCTGCTACGTTTATATGCCACTGTAGAGCATAATCCTCTTTTTACACTTGGTTCTACTCAGGAGTCAGATGATTTAGTTAATATAATAAAGTCACCTATATTCAAGAGGTCCATTTACTAAATTTGGCTGATCTGACAAATGTAGAAATAATTTGCAATATCACATGGTTAAGCTTGCAATTACCTGGTAGTCTCTTTCTGGTAGTCACAGTTAACATTTCCTTAGATTTTTTTAACTAATGCATTTCACATTTCACATTACACCGTTGTTTGACGATAAAGAACAAGTCAGAGTCCTTTACTTGAAAAACCTGAGAAATGTACCAGTTTTATTCAGATATGGTACTGGAGAGTCTAAGGTACTACAAAGCAGAGCTGAGGTACCAATCTGAATTGTTCATAAATTCCAAATCCCCGCTGATGCTAACAGAGTTTGGAAGCTGTGCAACAGAGGAGTGCTATGTTTGATTGTCTCATCTTAGTCCCTTTTTGGACACCACACAAAACCACTGAACAAATTTTTCCACTAAGTGTGCAGCAAAGCAAAGGGGAAACAAAAGAAAAAAAGGTATCAGAGTGTATTGAATGCAACAGCTGTTATCACAACATGTCAACATTAACAGGTTTCTCATACACATTCACCGGCTGTTTGAATTCTACCTGCATTGAACTACCCAACACGACAGAAACTACTGTATTCACCGAGTTAATGACAAACTACCTCGACTCAAAGTGAGAAATCTACCCAGTAGCTACAGAAAAAGAGTAGGTAAAGAACATAAAACAATCTTACGTTGTTTTAAATACAAACAAATGGACGTCTGCATCTCGTATCTGTCTGCTGACTGCAGCTGCTCTCAAATTTTTGGAAGATACGTAAAACTGAATTTGAAAAGAACAGGAAGTGGAACCAGCACTAAACCAATTCCTCCAAACTTACTTCTTTTACCTGCTGTTTGCAATGCCTAGTTTACGCTGCATCCTCATATTTATGTAGGTCCACAAGGCCTAAGTACTCCAAACAATGCTGAATGTACAAGAGAAACAGTTTCATAAATGGGATATAATGTGGATTTTAGGCAAAAATGTTTTCTGCTATCACACCTCCTTACTATTTTGGACAATTTTTCAAGTGACGAAATTGTCCCTGTCAAGGGCCTGGTTACATACACATGTTTATGACAAACCCAAGATCAGAAGTCTCATTTGTTAAATCATTTGAAAGGACTGGGTTTTACTAAACAATGTATCTCAACCTCTAGTGCCCTCATCGTCCACAACATTTTACCAAGATAACTCTCATATTTTAAAATATATAAATATTCCTTGTAATAACCTGATCAGTTTCAAGTTTATAAGCATAATCAAGACCCTGTCCCTGGAAGAAAAACACATCTTTCTGTAGCTTGCCTTAAAGTGTGATCCAGGACAATGATTGTGTTGCTGAGTGTAAATTTTCTATATTAATGGTCCAACAGTGCAGAAGAAACACAGGATAAATCATTGTAAAGAAAGAAATGGTTCTGGCTTTCTGTCACATGCAGTGCACTACATCAGTTTAATTACACAGTGCTGGCAAATAATTCCATCTATAAATAGCAACACTGCACCTTTGACACAATACTCAATCAAAAAAATAGATTTGCTGAAATGAAGAAAATGTTCCTGTATAAATTGGAGTATAATTATAAATCAATTCTTTTGTTTCCTCTTCTTCACTGGGGAAGCGGTGCAGGCTCTTCCGGGCTGTAAAACATCAGAAAAGTACACATCACTTTACTGTTATCCTCCTTGACAGGATCTTCCTTGGCAAAGTAAGTTAATCTGTGCGGCATGTCAACAAATGGAATTACAGTAACCAGTATGTGAAGAACTTGAAGATACATCTTCAAAAGCTGGTTACAGTGTATTTTGTTATTGGGGAGGGAGAAATTTAGTTCCTAATTTAAAGCCAAGACTGTACAAAAATATTTATCCGTGAGACAGGGGCAGTATCTACGACAGATGCCAGTACTTGTGAGACTGAAAGAAACACATCAGAGTATCAGCTTACTGGAAATTGCAGTGTTAGCACGGACAGTGCTAGTGAGGACAATAGAAACTGAATCCTTGCGTGGTTCAACATGTTGGCAACTCTACACCAGTTAAAATTAATGACATATGGATATGAAAATAGTATTTCAGTAGAATGGTTTAGATATCAAGTGATCATAGAGGAGTATGTTTTTGGCATCTGAAAACAGTTTTCACCCTGTCATTTATTTTTCAACTTAAGGAAGACATTCTGCCTCACATTAGCTAAAAACATCCATTACTCACTGCAAAGTTACGAAGTACTCAGTAGAAGCAGCCGTACACTGGTTGGGGAGGTAGTGACTGGGTATACGAGATGGAGGGCAGACGCATGCAGCTGAAAGGCAGAAGTCTGCTCTAGCAGAACTCAGGGTCAACAGATCCAAGCACTAGTGACGCAGCTGTGTGGTACTATGCCCCGGCTCGTTATACAGGTATACACAGACAAAAGAACTTGCATGCACTGTATCTCAACAGGACTTACAAGCAGAGGTGGCACTTATTCTGCCACATTTACTTGGATAACGGCCTGTGCAAGCTTACTCCTGCCAGTAATACAGCGTGCAGACAGATGCTAGAGAATGTAGCAAACAAAACTAGAACACATGCTACAAGGCCCCCCTTGTAGGGGGGCTACAAGGAAGCTGGGAGGGGACTTTTTGCAAGGGCCTGTAGTGACAGGACAAGGGGGAACGGGTTTAAATTGAAAGTGGGGAGGTTTAGATTAGATATCAGGAAGAAGTTCTTCCCGGAGAGGGTGGTGAAGCACTGGAACATGTTGCCCAGAGAAGCTGTGGATGCCCCATCCCTGGAAGTGTTCAAGGCCAGGCTGGATGAGGCTTTGAGCAACCTGGTCTAGTGGAAGGTGTCCCTGCCCATGGCAGGGGGGTTGGAATTAGATGGTCTTTAAGGCCCCTTCCAACCCAAACCATTCTGTGATTTTTTAGACTACAAAAAAACCAGACTCATACTATATTCTATTTTCCCCTTTATTTTTGTCTTAAGTCTCCCCTAAGTACTCTATCAAAATTCTTAAAATACAGGAAGCTTACAGATACTGACAAGAATTTTGGGTGATTTTGCTACCTTTTCACAAAGGTGAGTAGGATTACATTATGCAAAAGAGCCTGGAACTAGTATGAAGTCCAACTTTTATTTCTGCACTGGCCAGGTCAATACAAGTTGCATTTCTTTAAATCACTGCCTGCTTTCTACAATTAGGTGACCTTCTTGATTAGAGGCCAAATCTAAAGACCAAACCCAATTAGGTTATTGATTATGTTCTTCATAGTCCTAATCGATCAGGTAAGACAATTTCATAAATAGTCAATTTAAACATGAAAATCATATTTCAGTAGAATGGCTTAGTAAGTATAAATAAAGGAATAAAGTGAATTTGATCCCTTTAAATACTCCTGTATTTATATACTGCTTACTTATAGCAAACAGACCAGAACTGTCATAAACTATCAAACTTTTACATATTAGTTACTTCTACCTACTTAAGGTTTGAACAAACAAATTAGCAGCTCTGTAAAATTCAAAAACTTCTTGTGCTGCCTATAATCTATATAACTGTTGGGCACTATATTGCACTCCACTGATAGGTCCATATACTGCCCAAACAGTATTTACAATCTTGGTGCATATATTTTGCAAGCAAAATGGAGAATACATTGAATGACTGGAACTCAGTCTGGAACTGACGAGACCTGTGGAATTATGAATGGACTATTTTTTTTGTTTCATTTTCTTTGTGCAGGGAAGGCTAAAATGTTACAGGGATCATTCGAAATGGGAGAAAGTCACAGCACAAAGAAAGCTTTTGAGCCAGCATACTGAACAGAGTTTGTAGACTGCCTGGCCTTTTGATGTCACTTTTACTAAGCCATTCTATTTCCAGAATCCCTTGTTTTTATAAGCCTATAAAGCTCACACAGTAATCTTCTCAGAAAGCAGTAAGAGGTACTGAACTTTGACAACTGGAAGAGAGGTTTGTCTTCAAGGAGTTTCACTAATGCCTCACCTTAAAACACGACATTTATAGATAATAAGCTTTTTACCTTCATTAATGAAGAAGTCAGCTACATAATATGCTGCTCTGACAGCTGATGGGGAATGTGGAATGCCTGGTGAATTCTTCCACTCAAAAGGATTTTTCTCTGGATGCCACTGGACGCTGTAAATGGGATATTTGTATGCTGCAACAAACACAAAGCACATCAGCAAGGTCTGTGCCTTAAGAACTACATGCTTCGTCTGACTGCCAAAGAAACTCAAAGGATAAGCCACAAAAATATCTCACTTATCAACAGTTTCACAAAAGCTTAAACAGTGAGGTGAAACTCTTTTAAAACTCTGTTAAAGTCACAGTAGAAATGAAGGAAAAAAACCTGATATTGTAAAAGAAAAGTCTCATTCCGTGCAAGAAGATATTTGTACATCACTTGTTTGGTTATTTATTTCAGAATTAATATATATACTACATATATACATAACATTACAAGAGTATCAGTCTCAAAACTTCCTATCAACTGCCAGCATCGCTCAACATACAATGTTCACAGCCACATGGGACTTCCCTGGCAGTTTCATGGGACAGATCCAAGTCTTAGGACCTCCTTGAAGACCCAGTCAAGCCAGGAGCAGCTCCCACCTGCCCTGTGCCAGGCTTGATACACACAGGGGTAAGCCAGTCCTTAACTCTGTCACACAGAATAGCAGCACAGCAGCTGGCGACTGCTCTGTTATAAACTGCTTGCAGGCACGGGAGATGTCATTAGCCTAATCAGGTTTTCTGATCAAGTTGCTATTCTCTTCTGAAGGACAGCCAGTGTGCCATGCAGAAGAATCTCATGGGCCGGCAGCTTGGCCTCACCGCAGAGCTGCTGGTAGTGCACTGCTCAAAGTAAGTTAGCTCTTTAGGGGGTGGTTTGTTTCTTGAGCTGAGCAAGCCTGGTGCAAAACATATGCAACACAAGATAAGTAACGCAAAAGGCTTTGGGAGGAGGGCAGGTAACAGTATTGCTGTCAAAGTAATGAGGGATGCTGCTGTTACCTCAGAATCCTGGATTATTATTCCTGTACAGCAGATACAGAACACGACAGGAATGCAAGCTGTGTTGGTTTTAGTCAGGACAGAGTTAATTTTCTTCACAGTAGCTAGTATGAGGCTGGTGTGGATTTGCCCTGAGAATTATACTGATAAGGTGTTTTTCAGTTGGTGATAAGGACTGCTTGTACCAATTCAAGAACTTATTCAGCTTCTGATACTGCAGCTGCATTCTCAACTCTCTCACTGCAGGCAGCGTAGGGGGACACACAGTTCAGGCAGCTGACCCAAACTGACCAAAGGGGTATTTCCTTCCATAGCACGTCTTGCTCAGTACATAAGCAGGGACTGGGCCAGGAGACCATAGACTCCTTTGCTTGCTCGCTTGTTAGCTAGCTTCGTTAGTGAGTTGGTGTGTCAGTTGGCTTTCCTGGTCATGTGGTTGCTCATGGGGCTCGCTTAGACTCTACTGTGATCTCTCCCTCAGGCTCTGTGTCTCTTTGGCTCTGACTCTCACTACTCGGGCCCCGGCTGTGTATCAGTCAGTGGGTGGTGAGCAATTGTATCCTATGTTTTATTTCCTATTATTTTAATTACTTAGTAGCAGTATCGTTAATATTGTTAGTATCGCTATATTATTAATTTATATTTATATTCAATTATATTCGGGAAGAAATTCTTCACGAAGAGGGTGGTGAGGCAGTGGAACAGGTTGCCCAGAGATGTTGTGGATGCCTCATCCCTGGATGTCTTCAAGACCAGGCTGGATGTGGCTTTGAGCAACCTGGTCTAGTGCAAGGTGTTCCTGCCCATGGCAGGGGTTTGGAACTAGATGATCTTTAAGGTCCCTTCCAACCCAAACCATTCTATGATTCTATGAATTATTAAACTGTTCTTATCTCAATTCATGAGCCTCTTTGTCTCATCCTCTGATCCTCCTCCTCCACTGGAGGATGGGGGTGAGGTAGACGAGCGGCTGCATGGTACTTAATTGCTAGCCAAGGTTAAACCACGACAAAAGCAAGCAGACAGACAGAAAGCAAGTTGCAACAGAGGCATAACACACTGTGGAGGAATTAAACTACTACAGGATGAGTGCTGTACACTTCACATCACAGCACTTGAACATTACAGTGCTAAGGTGTAGCAGCATATCTGGAAGGGGAACAGTGGGTGAGAGAAGTTAGTAATCAGGCTCACAGATACATACTCAAAAGACAAAATATCTCTGAAAGCAGAGTATGTTCCTCACAGACAGAGCGCTGACAGGGCTGATGTTCACTCTGTCAGTATTCTAACAGCAAGCCTGCTGTACAAATTAACATCAGTGTCACACACCTATAAAGAACTAGTTTGTTACACTCATGGTTTTTAAAAGGAAGTTCATTTCCCTACCTTCCATGGTAGATATAAACTCCACTTCACCATCAGTGTTAGTGGTCAGAACATTATAGAAATTACGAAGCTTTTCATTCTTTGTGAAATTCTGTGATAAGGAGAAGGAAAAAAAAAGTGTTATTTTCTCATTTATTTCTAGTTTTAACAGAACAAATGCATTTGTGTTCAGGAAACAAAATTACGAAATACCTCCATGGAGAGGCTCCACATATGAAAGTTTGATGTCAATGGCTCAGTAGCAAATGCGTGTAATACATCATAAGGGAAATTCTTGAATAACCTACTGTCTTTTGCAGCTATTATAAAAAAAAAGAAAAAAAAAAAAAGAAAAAAGGATATTCGGAATTACCCAAGCTACTAACAGATGGAATAACACTGAACAGAAGACAAATTTAATAAAATACTGCATTAAACTTTTTTCCTGTAATATAACTTAAAGATTTTAGAATACGCTGCAAGGAAAATCAGTGAAATAACTACAAACAACAAAGGTTTCCAATATGCTATTAGCACTGTCCTCCAGTCTGGACCCGGAGGGGACCCAACTTTGCTACCTAAGTTCTCACTACCATAAGTATCATTCTGTGCCACTCATTGCAGGGACCTTTCCATTCACAATGCACACAAATGACGGAATTTGTGAATGCTACGTGGTCTGCAGACGGATTACTCACAAATTAAAGTATCAGCAGAGGCCACATCTTACCAGTGTTGCTGAGCGGCACAGCTCTATCTTAACGGACCTCTCTGATTTCATACTGTGCAAGTGGGACAGCAATGCTAATATTCATCGTTAGGAAAGGTGCAATTCGAAAAATTTAAAATCACCTGTTCTCCAAGTTTGACAGGTTTTGGACCCGTGAATTTTGTTCACCTCTGTAACAAAAAAGAACCTAAACCCACGTTATTTTTGTAGGTCCAAATTACCGAATGACTCAGCCAGAACCGTGGTTTTTGCTGACTGCTTTTGGTTTCAAACAGCTTGTGCACACGTCTGCTTTAGAACTGATAGTGCTGCACTGACTTTATAAAAACAGTCATGGCAACATAGTAGGAAAGCATTTAACAAGATAATGATCAGAAACCTCCCAAACATTCAGCCCTGCATATTTATCACGAATGAAACACAACACCCCTCAGCAAAACTCAGACATGGGACATAATGAATTTTTCACCTGAGGTAAAGTTCAGAGGCAGTGCAAAACCTTCTGTCTTGGTATTAACGAGTAAAACTTTGCCACTTGTGAGATATGTAAGCTCTTCATGTCCGAGGCATGTTCCCCATAATGGAAAATAATCTCTTTTATCATTAGCCTTCAAAATAAAAAGCAACAACATAAGGAAAAAGTACTGAAGATTTATAGAAAGGAGACTGAAGAGAACTTCCTACTCCTTTTGCTTTCTCTTGTGTAATGCAAAGTAAAACAACTACAGTAGTACAAATTGCTACCAGACAAATTGTAACTATTCAATTACAAAAGAAATACACATAGACTCCCTAAGTTTTTATCCTAAAATCTGAAGGCTAGGGGATACACACGTGTCTGTTAAAGCAGTACACTCAGCCTAACGTTGACATCCATTTCACTGTTCTGTTCTATGAATAAGCCATGTTGGGAGCAGCCTAAACAGAAACCACAAAATAGCAACATTTCTATAAAAAAGGTACTCATAAGAAGGGACACAAACCAATCTGTCACAGTTTTGAGGGAAAGCCTATTCATTACAATGCCTAGGTTTGCATGAAGTGCCATAAGATCCCATCGCAAGGACCCTCTGCAATGTCCGTATGCCTGCGCCCACCCGTCTGTATTAAGAAAACACAGACCCCATCATTAGCATGGCTATGTCTTATCTGACATACTTAGATGCTTGTTGAACTAGCAGGTTTGGACCTGCATTCCAGAAAGATAAACTGTGAGTTTAGGCAACATGAAAAAGTGACAATCATTTTCAAATGAGTAAAAATTGGGAATAAGTGCAAAAACAAGAGAGGAATCATGGAATCATAGTATGGTTTGGGTCGGAAGAGACCTTAAAGATCATCCAGTTCCAACCCCCCTGCCATGGGCAGGGACACCTCCCACTAGACCAGGTTGCTCAAAGCCTCATCCAGCCTGGCCTTGAACACGGCCAGGGATGGGGCATCCACAAAAAGAGACTACAGTTGGCTTCCTGTCACTGAAGTAAGCACAGTGCGTATACACAATGGAAATCTGCATTTTTGTATGGTTTATTTCTGATACTAAGCACATATTATACTGGGAAATTTCAGAACTCTTTTTTCTGTGCAATATCAGTAGTCCTTCCTAACTTGTTTATAAACATTTTTATGTTATGCACACACATGCACAGAGGAAGCGCTGCTGCTCAAAAGGAGAAAGCTGAAATGACAGGCTTAGAATAAAAACATTACGGATAGCGTAGTAACAAAAGCCCATATAAATACTTCTTCTCAGAGCAAAACATGGAAGATTTACAGAAAGCAGGCTAATAGTGCTACAGAGTCTTCATGACCACCCATCATGCATGGCTAGAGACACAGAACTTGCCACTCCACTGTCTTTCATGCAAGTGAGAAATAAAAACACTAATGGTAAGAAAAAAAAGAAAAAGGACTACAATTTAGGAACAATTAAAACTGAACTGTAAACATTTCCTACCCCCACCCCGTTTTGTTTTTTTTTTTTTAGGAAACTTTAGCCTGGAAACTAAGCATGTATTAAACAGCACCCAAGACATCACATTTTAAATAATTATTCAAAGGCTGAATCCCAGCATTTCATTTAGGGTTTTGCCTAACCAGTAAAATTCTATTGACTTGGATGGATATCAGTATTTCAGATCTTCTCTTCATATTAAAGCAGAGACAGACAAAGTCATTTCTCATTGTGAACATTTGAAAATTACGAGAAAAGGAACCTCATCCACTTTAATATAAAATTCTGTATCAACTAATACTCTTGACTGTAGCTCACCTTACACTGGTAAAACTACCAATATTTTATAGTGCTCATTAAGGCTTAGAAGATGAAAATCAAAACACACGATCATAGAATCTTTTGGATTGGAAAAGGCCTTTAAGACCATCAAGTCCAACCGTTAACCCAGCACTGCCAAGTCTGCCACTAAACCATGTCCCTAAGCACCATCCCTCTAAGGATGGTGACTCAACCACCTGCCTGGGCAGCCTGTTCCAGTGCCTGACAGCCCTGTCAGTGAAGAGTTTCTATCTCATATCCAATCTAAAGCTCCCCTGGCATAACGGGAGGCCATTTCCTCTTGTCCCATCACTTATCACTTGGGAGAAGAGACCAACACCCACCTCACTACAACCTTCTTTCAGGTGGCTGTAGAGAGCGATCGCGTCTCCCCTCAGCCTCCTCTTCTCCAGGCTAAACAACCCCAGCTCCCTCAGCTGCTCCTCACAGGACTTGTGCTCCAGACCCTTCCCCAGCAATGTTGCCCTTCTCTAGACACGCTCCAGCACCTCAAGGTCTTTCTTGAGGGGCCCAAACCTGAACACAGTAGTCCAGGTGAGGCCTCACCAGTGCCCAGAACAGGACAATCCCTGCCCTAGACCTTCCTCCTGCTGCCCACACTGTTCCTGATGCAGGCCAAGATGCCATGGGCCTTCTTGGCCCCCTGAGCACACTGCTGGCTCATGTTCAGCCACTGTCAATCAACACCCCCAGGTCCTTTTCTGCTGGGCATCTTTCCAGCCCCTCATCCCCAAGCCTGTAGTGTTGCAGGGGGCTGTTGTGGCCCAAGTGCAGGACCCGGGACTTGGCCTTGTTGAACCCCGTACAGTTGGCCTCAGCCCATCGACCCAGCCTGTTCAGATCCCTCTGCAGAGCCTTCCTGCCCTCAGGCAGATCAACACTCCTGCCCAACTTGGTGTCATCTGCAAACTTACTGAGGGTGCACTCGACAGATAAAGATGTTAAGCTGAACTGTACCCAATTCTGGGGAACACCACTTGTGACCGGCTGCCAACTGGATTTAACTCCATTCACCACAACACTTTAGTCCCAGCCATCCAGCCAGTTTTTTACCCAGCAAAGAGTATGCCTGTCCAAGCCATGAGCAGCCAGCTTCTCCAGGAGAATGCTGTGGGAAACGGGGTCAAAGGCTTTATAAAAGTTCAGGTAGACAGCTCCCAATCATCACAAACAGCACAGAAAAAACTCCAACTTATTAGTACGGGTTACCTATGATGAACCAAAAATTATTTTCTGCCTTCCACTCACCTGAAGTACACATACCAAATAATAAACCTGCCTCTCCGATCATAAAATTATGACACAGGCAATTCAGTTAATCATTGTGAAAAGTCAACAGAATTTCATAATGGTACTGCAAACCACAAGAAACCCTCACCCCAGCACCGAACACCGAGACACAGGCTGCGCTTCGCACAGTGAGCAGTTTCAAAGAAACAAATCAGATTAGTTGTCTTACAGAAAATGAGAGAGTCCTTGCAAGATTCAGGTTTCAGGCGACTAACAATCACCACGAATAAAGATAGACAAAGGAAGAACAACATGGATGCCATGGGGATTAATGAGTAGGAAACTTAATTACTGAACTGCAGCAGCTGATTGGTCCTGTGAATGCCACTGCCTGTGCTTTCCTTGGCTGCTGCTGGAAAGTTGGCAGCAAGGGTAGGAGAGGAATCCCTCACTGACAATGAACACTCCTGCTATGGCAACAGTTAAAGCACTACTCATAACTTGCTTTAGAACTGAGCAAAGTTTTCCAAAGCATGAATTCTGTGACAACTTTGATCAATATTAGCTGAAAATAAAATAAAGCCAGTAAAGGGGAAAAAAAGAAGGAAGAAAATTTACATTTTAATTCAATCTGAATACAGAAGATCCTTAACAAATCACAGGGATGGTATGTAAAGCTCAGTAAATCTGTTCCTTTCCACAATGCCAATTTTACTTCAAAATGTGTTCATTACTATCTGAAAAAAACCCTCACTTCTTATGCTCTAAGAGAATTAAATCTTCAATGAGGGTTCAGAGCCTTCCTGACATTCTTTGAAACCAACAGCTTTCCCAGAAATTCAGTCTTTTCTTAATAAAGCTAATGACTATATAAATACTAAAAATGGTTAACATAACCTTTCAAGTGTTCTTCCCACCTTTTTTTGTGTTATAAATTAAGCTAGTGTTTACTTCAAAGATCTGCTATATTTACAGTTATCAATGCAAAGAAATAGGTAAAATGGTATAATATGCTAATGTAGATCCCTCATCTGCACCTCCAAAGATGTATTCAAATCTACTTATCTATAATTAAGAATAAAGGTGTTTCACTAGCTCTACCCACATTACATTTATGTACATCTTCGTCAACATTTAATGTCAATAGATACTCTGCACTTTTGGAAGGCACTACTGTAACTTTATTGCAAATTGCACACAGCCATAAAGCCCCAGTGCAGAATGAGTAAATTATATTGTTCTCACCTGAAGAACTTGGGAGTTTAAGACTGTGACACATCATACAAGAGGAGAGGGTGTCAGAAGTCTGAATCTTAAGTTATTAAATGATTTTTTAATGCAGAAACCAGCAATGAGCTACTTATTATCGGGCTTACAGTTAACACATTGGATACAAATGGAAAATGATTGAAAATGTGAGCCTCCCTGTCATTTTGATCTCTGAACAGTGACAATAACAAGAACAGACTGTTCCTTAGTAATTACCTCTAACGCCTTGTGGTAAAATATCTTAGCAACCCTGGAATATTCTGAAGTCTTAAGATCCACACCACCTCCTGGAAAAAGTACCCTGAAAGGCAACATCCAAGAATCTGATTAGCAACGGTGATCAAACTAAAACCTGGATAATGTACACAGAGAAAGGTCTGATAGTGGTTTTAAGGGTAGAATTCAGGTCTAGGTTACGACACCTACCTTTCAGAAACCTACAGATATAAACTTCCTTATGGTCAGCAGGGATCTAGTCAGAAAAGTCAGTGGAGGCTCTGGCATGTTTTCTAGGGCAAACACCTAACTGTTTGGTGGTTCGCACAGCCCTGTAGGCTCCACTGGCTGTTCTGACTAGCACTTAATTATGTGAGTTTACACAGCTAGCGCACAGGCAGACAGCTAAGTTTAAGTGTCTAAGTCTTTAATGGAATCTCATATCCTAAATCTTCATGTTCCTCTACTGATGAACAGTTATTATCTCAAAGTAGTGACCGAGCCTTGTGCAACGTAAGGAAGAGGAGAGTAAACAGAGAATACACAAAACATATAAATTTCAGCTGGGACACAAAAGGGTTGCGTACCATGACTTTGTCAAATCCTGGCCTGTCCCTCAGCTGGCTCTCCCTAAAGCATTAAAATCCTGGCCCCAGTCTTAATCCATCCTGCTCCATTTCAGTAAAGAATTGTGGCCCTGGCAGAGTGACCTTCTTCAACTAATCAGCAACGGCAATTCTCTGTGTGGCTCCTCAAACTCAAACACCACAAAAGACTCAGTACAGTCTAGCAGAGGTTTCACAAGTACATACAATGACACGGAAAGCAGTCAAGTACCATCAGAAAGAGTAATGTGAAATAAAGGAAGTCTCTTCTGGCTGTAACTGGAACAGTACCCCCGGAACTGACAGAATCAAATGCATGAGCACTCCCTAACCCCCTGCAGCAGAACTTCCATTAGGTTTCCTCAAGCCACATCCCTCAGTTGATGACTTTTTACCAAAGTGGCTGAAGGATTTCCTCTACATCCCTGTGCTCTGGAAACGGCAACTTCTATCACTGAGATACTAACAAGCAGCTGGAACGAAGTTAGAGCTTAAACGACACCAAGCATTTGCAGAGCAAGAGTGAACGTTTAAACCCTAGAGACCAGGTTTATTCTAAGGTGAATGATGCACAGGATCATGCAAAAGCCACCAAGTATTTGGTGGAAAAGCAGAGCAGTATTCACAAAAATATAAATCAGATTGTTCTCCAGGGCCAATAAAGAAAATTAATACAGCTGAAGGTATTGTCAAAGCAGGCCAGATTACAGACTTATACAGAGATCTAGCTGGACAAATAAGGCAATCCTTACCTGGAAGTGGTGGAAAATTCAATTCACCTGTTCCTTTTGTTCAAACCAAAAACTGGTCAATACTAATTAGGAAAAACAATTCTGCTAATGCAAAAAGGAAGCAACCTATTAAGCAGCAATGATAATGGCCTGCCATTGTCATAAGCAGACTGAAATGTAACTACCTGTATTCCAGTACCTCCAAATGGCTAGAGCTGATGACATTCACTATGAATTTCAAAGGCTATCTCAGGAATACATTGCCATATTCATAACATTCTGTCTCTACTATACTGATTTCATGATTTTAAGGTGGTGTTTAATATTAAAAAATTTCCACCTGCAGGGAACCTGGAGCTAAGGTCTTGTAACATGAAAGATCAATGTATCTCTTTCTTATTCTAAGTTTCCACAAAATGGAATGTCCTTCCCTCCAAGTATCTTACTTGTTATTTACACACCGCTGTACTGTGGAAGCCATTCACTGACAGTGGAGGGCAACAAGAGGAAATCTAGAGCACCCTTACCCACCTACATAGCACAAACCCAACTGCCAGTCACTGCAGTGACAGAGGACAAAGGGAACTGGATCTACTTGCTTAACACCCTCTTCTGCATCAAAGTAGGTGGTGAGGTAGAAAGAAGAGAAGACCTCACTGGTGAAAGTCCTTCTGACAACCAAGGACAAACTGGCAGGCATAAGAAAGGGATGAAGTGATTCATTTTGTCTCCAATATGAGGAGCCACAGGGGATAAAGTGTCACTGTCTTATACTTGCTTATACTACAAGACTGTAAAGGCCCACTTCTTTACAAGACTGTAAAGACCCACATCTGCCCCTACAGGGCACACTGTGGAGCATAAAAGGACACTGCTCTCCCCAGACAGCCACAGGTCTAAACCCGCAAGGTCCAAACACGTTGATTAACATTCTAGTATATGTATAAGCTTAACAAAAATATTCATGGTTTAAGATGCTCATCTTATGACTACAAGTAGCCCAATCACATGCAACGGGCTCTCATATAACCAAGACTGTGAAGTGTAGCATCAGCTGATTTAAGACTTCTGAAGCTCACTTTTAGCACAAGGCAAACATAAAAGTTTCTGAGTTTGATTAGTACACAGTTAAAATGTGTTAAATTAGATTGCATTATCCCACATTTAAAATGTAGGAAGAACACGGGGTGGAGAGTTGCCATGGGTCAGCTGAAAAGTTAGAGTTGCTTGTCTAACAAAGACCTAAGCCACAGAATCACGACAGGCAAGACAGGCCATTCAGGTAGCAAGAAAGCAAGTGCCCATAGAGAAAAAGGTAGAAAAGACTGGAAATTAGAAACTTTTACAATAGAGGAGATGTGGAGAGGACAGGAAGAGGGAAGAAAGGGTAAAAAACCAGGGATGAAACACACAGTAAGTGCTATTAAAAATTAAAATTAACACGATCACTCAAATGAGGAAGAAAAAACCCGACAAATAGGAACTGGGCTATTTCACTTGCAAAATTGTTAACGGCTATAACGCCACTTCCATCTGCCTGCAAGCAAGCACAGGAGAATGCCAAAATGAGCCTTGGCATTGTTGCAGATTATCCGACATGTGCTCCTAAAGGAAGGAAAGGCAGCAGACTGACATCGGATGAAACAGTGCTCTGTCTCAGAACACATCATAGAATCTTTCTGGTTGGTAAGGACCATTAAGATCATCAAAGTCCAACTGCTCACATGTCTGCAGTGCTCAGCACAGCCTCTCAAGAGTCGACAGTGTTCCTGGGAATACAGCTGACCTCAAAACCAGAACTATCATGTTTTTTCAACAGAAAATCAGTGCTCAAAACTTACCCATTAATAGAGTGGAATATTTTATCATATTCTTCATCTGAAAGATTTAATCTGAAACACCAAGAAAATAGTTACAGAATACATATGAAATACACATTTTTTAACCAGAAATCCATCATTATTACAGAACAGAAACGTGAGGCAGAAAATACGTATTTAAACAGAACAAAACAGACCCAAATCAAATGAAACATTTCACTTGAAACAGCTCAATCCACAAGACTGAAAACAGGGCCCTGTCAGGTACAGTTCCACATTAGGTACTTGAGACCCCTTTGCAGACACTCGTTAAATTTAACATTTACATGAATGGCATGGTTATTATTTCCTGCAGACCGGCAACTCCGGTTTCCAATTGACTCCAAGAAGGGCAGAGCTGCAACCAGTGGGTCACACCCATTCTTCAGAAAAGATACAGTTGAGAGGTGGAAAGATGAGAGATCTCAGCATCAGCAAACCAGTAGGACAGCTACACTCCCACAGAACTGATGCACCGGGAACATTCAAAGTGTCCAGCTTTGCTGCATCTGACTTAGCTGCCAGAATTAGAAGCCTCCATTCATGGATGAAGCTTCTGCTCAGCAAACATTCTGAAAGCTCCAGCAGTTACGTGAGGAGCACTGGATTCTAATTCAGGCACTTAACTGGTGCTCTTATTGGACATCTGATTGTGATTTTCTGCAGCTGCATCAGTATCGTTTTCACTTACCCCCAATCACTTTAACATCTGATTTCAGTGTTATTTACTATCTTATAGCTAACTGTTGTCTATTAAGCATTGATAGTTTTATTACTTATTCTGCTGCTTCTACCAAAACAACCACAATACAACAACATGGAGTTAGCGACCCGTAGTTTGAGCAGAACTAGACTTTGGGCTTCTTCAGGAAGTACTGATATCCTTCCTCCATTACCTGAATTCTAGGACTACAGAATATGACAAAACATAGTGTGTATATATATATATATATGTATCTAGAAATCTCGGGGG